GAACTGTGCCTTTCATTTCTTGCATATGCAAAAACAAAATTAGTATGGGCTGAGCTTCTCAGCTGACCATAGAACCGTAGAACCTGTTCTGTCCACTTGCAAAGAGAACAGGAGAAACAAAAATCAGCCTCCTGAATAGTTCAGAATTTTTAGTGCTTTTTCCTTTTATTATCTGCAGTTCACAAAGGGGAACAGTTCTGTAGCTAGCTTCTAGTACCCAGTCATTAACAAACGTGGCTTCCTGTTTTCTTGTACTGGGTTATCGTTGCAAATAACTGAGAAAAACCAGGAGCCTTCAACCACTTCATCTCTATTCTGAGGAGATTTTGTTTGCATTGTTAAAGGGCCTTGACAATAACATGGTTGTTTCTCCATTGGGGGTTGTTTTGTGTTCTCTTTATGTATTTCATGGTGCATTAGTTGTATTGCAGTACTACCTAATAGTACCTAGCGCTAGCCACAAACTCCCCTGTGACTCCCCTGTGCATGACAGTGTCTAAACAAGGAACGAAAAGACTGTTCCTGATCCAGAGCTTAAAATCTAAATAAATCCAATTATATGTTTCTGATGGAAAACAATGCAACATATTGAAGTCCTGAATGTGTTATCTAGTTAGTACTGGGCCACACTGACCCTATCTCCTCCAGCACTGGAAATGTTGCCATTGTTTTTTGTTTTTCTTCCCGTTGCATATTCCATGTACGTTTTTCTTCAGTGAATGAAGTGATCTCTGCAGGCTCAAATAACTTGGAAACAAATCTTCCTTAAAGTAAGCCCTTTCAGCTCCCACTTCATCAACTCTGAAAGGGCACTCAGGTCTTTGTGAAGCCTCTGGGAAGAAAATGGGTCTCTGTTCAAGCATGGGGAATCTTGCCAGCAAAGATGGGGTCGCAAAGTTAGGCTGCTTTCCAAGACTTGAACGCATGTTTGACCTGACACCAGTGTGGACCCACATTGAAATCAACAGGGACCAGTCACAGCAGTAAAGCTCAGCAGGTATCATCCAGGAGAGCTCTGGAAGTCAAGGGAGTTGGCCGGTGGGAGCTTCCTTTCCTTACTGAGCCCTGCAATATAGAATAAGAGGCGTGTATATAATACTATATATTATAAAATAAGATTTTCTTAATAAAGATATTAAGAATTATTAAGATATAATTACATAATAAGCATAATAGATCACATTATATATAATAGGTTACCTTATATATATTGATGACATGATAGATTTATTATATTACATTTATAGATATTAATAAATTACACTGTATATAATAGATTACATTATCTATTATATATAATGGATTACATTATATATAATAGATTATGTTATAGATTATATTAATAGATTACGTTACATACAACTGATTTCATTATATCTATAGTTTACATTGTATATAATCGATTACATTATAAATTATATTAATAGATTATTATATGTAATGTGATCTATTAATATCTGTAATATATTGTGGATATTAATAGAGGACATTATATGTAATTATATAATAGATAATTATACCATGTAGTGCATACATTATATTATGCATTATATCATATATTGCAGTATTACAATCTATTAGATGACATTGTCTGTCATCTATGAGATGCACGGTATTGATGGCAACTTTCTATTGCACGCATCGTATCTATGACGTAATACATCGCGTATGACAGTATGCGCATACATTGTTATCCCCCGCGTTTGTGTGATTTATACCGTCATGCCTCTCTGGTGACATCATCCAGACGATAAAACCCATGACGTCACGCGGTGCAGGCAGGCACGACCCACCCGCCCAGGCCCACTGCACCCCTCTCCCCTCCCCGTGCCTGAGGGGGCGGTGCCGGTTGGGACTACAACTCCCAGCAACCCATGCGCCCCTGTCCTCTCCTCCCCTCGGAACTACCGCGCCCAGCATGCCCCGCGCGCACAGCAGCTCCCGGCGTGCCC